TGTTTCAATTATACAACCACATAATTATGTACATAAATACATACATACATGAAACAAATTTAATAATTTTTTATTGCCACATGCGCTGTTTGGTTTCTAATAACATACGAACAAAAAACAAGTATGATTATTAGCCGAAATCAAGCGTCAATACACACAACGACACCAACCCAATTTCACTGCTGGAAAAATACTAAACAAAAGCAATATTAAAATAAGCAGAAATCAGCGTTGCACTCAGTGTGACCGCGGGCTTGTGAAAAATTGTAGCAGAGAAGAGTAGGGATGTGCGATTAATCAATTAATCGAACAAGCTGATTAATCGAAAGCCGATTAATTAATTATTTAAATAATAATTATTTTTGATTAATCAAAATATTAAAAAAATATTGAATGTGCATACGAACATACGTATTTTTACATGCAAACAAACATACAAAAAAAATCATTTCGTTTGAAAGCAAACTCGAAAGAAATTAACAAAGTTATTCAGATTTCAATTAATTTTTTTTTTTTGAGTAAACAGTAATTACTCAGGATCTGATTAATCAAATTATTTGATTACTCAGAATTATGATTAATCAAAAAACTGATTAACTGATTAATCGCACATTCCTAGAGAAGAGACTGAAAATGTATCAATATGTATCACTTTTTTATTTTAAGTATCAAAGTATCAATATGGAATAAAATCAATAATTTTTATGAAAAGTCATTTTTCAAAACATATTAACATTTATTGATTGCAAAAAAAGGTACACGTATAAGTTGTATGTACTTGGTACTAATATAATAATAACGAAAATGTCTGGGTATTAGTATAAAAAAAACAGCTAAAATGTTTTATACATAATCCTATTTTTAGTTTAAATACTTTTTGTACTTATGGGACTTAAAATTAAAATTTTTTAATAATTTTTAAGACATTTGGAAAACATTATGCATTCCGCTCTGCAGCGGCAAAGCTGTGCGGAAAACGTAACAAGTTAAAAAGAAAAAAAAGTTAGTTCAAAATATAAAAAGTTATTTAAAACAGTTTTTAGCTTGCTTACCCCCCAAAAAACTGTGTAATGTCTTCAACGCAATCAACTTATTATGGAATTTCAAAAGTTGCCATTGTATACAAATTTTCTCTTTGTCGCTTTCTTTATACAAATTAGGAAACATTTATAAAACTGTTAAAAATGTCGAAGCACTTTCATTATATGACATGTAAGGCTTTTTAGGATTTCACTGTTAAAATCAAATCTTTTTTTATTTGCAGTTCAATATAACATTGCTGAATATTTTTTTTTAATTTTTAAAACTAAGACTTTACTTAAATGTGCTGTTAATATCTTCGTCTCTGCGGCACAAATGATATCTGGGTTAAAAGCGTCTATATCAGCTGGGTCACTTGGCATACAGTCTGGTCTGACAAAAGTGACAATATAAGTTTATAATTACTTTTAAAATAGTTATATAACTTATTCAATCTGTATGATTCACTTTCTATGTTCATTTGATTGACAACATCCAAAATATTTCATATATAATAAAAAATAAAATATATACATATATGTATAATATAATTTATTGGTGGGGAATCAATTTTTTCGGCAATAGCTTACGCTTGGTTCACACCGTCATCGAAAAAGAGTAAGTAATTTTTAGCAAAAAAACCGACTTTAATTCTCATATAAATATATATATATATATTTCATGATCAAATGATCGGATCTAGACCAGATTAGTATGGGACCACCTCTGGAACACTACCTTTCCGGTGCAAAAAAAATTATCGAAATCGGTTGACGTGGTCCAAAGTTATGCGGTAAACTACATAAAAAAAGTATTAGAAGTCGGTTAAAAAAAATAGCAACGCGCTACACTGGGCATTAAGTTTTATAATTTCTAGCACCAACGCAGTTTTGAAGCTCGGCAAATTCATCCACCCTTTTAGCACTATGTGCCATGATAAAAAAATAGGAAGGTAGAACCGCTGAGAGGATTTTTTCAAATTCTTGACGTTTGCAAGCAATTTAATTTTAAAATTTTACACACAAACTCACACACACATCTCATTTTCAATCTCAAACAACAACAACTTTGAACAGTTCCTCTTTTTTACTCTCAATTTTATATGATTATAAATGTTGGCAAACTTCAAAAAAAATATGGCCGACGCATTGAGAGAACGGTTTTACCTTACTATGATTTTATCATGCTATGGCATGAACCAAAACTACAAGATCACGCCCTCTTAGTAGCCCGTTATAATCGCATTTACAGGCTAACCTAATATTCACGCACGCCGCCAATTTATTGTCAAAAATTTCTCATGCACATGCAACTTGTATGAGATCAACCGAAATTGAACGGCGTGCGTATGAAGCTAACTCAATTTCCAATTTTTGTTCTGCGTGACATTTTGATTTGACGTTTCGCTCAATGAAATCAAATGTAAACGCATGCAAGTCAATTTCGGGTGACGCAAAAAAACAAATTCGACGGCATGCGTACCAAAACGCAAGCTGCGAATATTAGGTTAGCCTGTTAGGAAAAAAGTTGGGCGACTTTGACATTAGCCGTTTGTTTACATTTGTTCGTTGTTTACAATTTGGTGGTGGCTTTTTACTGCAATTTTCTTAATTTTCACTTGTGACAACGTGTGCACATATAAGGTACAGAATAATTTAACTCAACGACATGATTTATAGAAGAATTTGCATAATAAAAGTGATTATTCATGCGTTCAACAATTACGCGTTTTTTTTTTGTTCTCTTTGTTGGTTACTTCTTCTAACAAAGATGGCGTCGAGATTTCAACAGCTAGAAAATAACTTTTTTCTTTCTTTCGGGAAGGCGTGATCTTGTGTCTTTCGGTCATGATACTATGGGCGAAGTAATTGTAAACATCTCTGTCAAGTTTTTCGGCTTCTACGAGATTCATCGAAAAAAGTTTCACTTTTGATCCACTTTGAGCAAAGCGGACACACTGGTTGCAACCAAGGCACATAAATACAGGTAGAAGCCAAAATGACGTTGCTCTCATAAGAACCAAACCTTTAAACTTCAACTTGTTTTTTTTTTTATTTCCTATATTTCGTTACGCTTTGAATGTCATATCGTTGTTTTTTTTTTTGAATGTTCGTTAATGACAAATTTTAATTTGCATTTGAATTTTTGTAGTGTTGTGCGGTTTATACTTAGTGTATGTGTTAAAAATGCAACACCTGAAGCGTTGTTTTTTATGTGGTGTTAAATATAAGGCAGATACCACTAATTTTTTAACGTGCCTCAATGTCCTTCGCGTAAGGAACGTTGCGAAAGCAGCTGTGGGCAGAGCTGCAGTGAAATGTCTTGCTGTGCGTTAAACATTTTAAAGAAGAAGATTCCACAAATACACCGGGAGGTACAGGAAAGGCACGTTTGAAGCCAAGTGCTGTTCCTATCACCCTTATGCCGAAAAGTCCCTCCAACAACACTGCAACTCATAAAACAAAAACAGAAAACAACATACACGTTTTATCAAATTTTAACTAAAGAAAATAAATAAATAAGAATAAACTTCAAATATACTTAAAAACGTCAACCAGTGAAATGTATTTTTTTATTTTTCCTTACACACGCTCATTTTTATTTTTACTCTCCCGAAAACTTTGACTTTTGTAGGTTTGACGTCAAATTGGCTTCTACCTGTTTTATTGTACCATGGGTTGCAACAGTTGGCCGGTGTTGCCTATTCGATCAAAAACGAAGCGGAGTTTTGTAAGAAGTTCACAAATGTCTGGTACCCATAACAGATATTAGTACAATTGGGGTGTTCACAGTTCGTTCCAAATAGTGTCTCAAAATGTAGACGTCTACATTTTAAGACGTTTTCTAACCGTAAAATCTGTGGTGTTGTTGTTTCCCATACAAAATTGGAAAACGACGCCGTCTACATTTTGTCACACTCAAAGGTATGTATTTTACGCGTCTACATTTTGCAACCTCGCAGCAGCGTTGCATTATGGCAATACTAATCACATTTTTTTTATTTATTGGGCACGTTTTTTGTATTTGCATTTAATTTGAGCGTAATTTCTGATGAAAAGAAACAAATCAAGGGAAAGAAATAACAAATATTAGGAATTGGTAATTAAGTTAAATAATTACAATTTTTCAGAAACAAAATCGAAAGGCGATATATAAAAAATGCACGCAAAGAGGAAATGTCTGGCAACACCAGCAAAGTTTTGAGACGATTTTGCGACGACTGCTAGAAAGGGGTGCTCACAGTTTGATGCTAAAGATGTCTCAAAATGTAGACGTCTATATTTTCAGACACAATTTGGAACGAACTGTGAACACCCCAAATGTTTAAATTTTAATAACAGCTGTCGCATCAAACAACAGTTAACAAATAGTTGAAAACAGCTGGTTTTTTATTCGTTAAATAACAATCGAAAAAACAACGCTATGTTGCTTTAACAAGCAAAGCTTAACCGGCCGTCTTCACGTGCTGGAAAGTCTCGCTTGCGTGACCGCACGTGTAGCCGCAAAAAGTACGGAGCATGCTTTTTCTCGCATACCGAGCGGTATGCGAGCTCTCGCTTGCTATCAACTGTCATTTTTGTTGTTTGACAGGTATGTTCTCATTTCGCAGAGTTCTTCAGAGTAGCAACATCGTTTATTTTGGAGGCAAATACAAATTTAGAGGCAGTCTTTATCATTTGAAAATAGTATACATATCATTATGCAGATTTTCTAATTTTCTCAAACTTTTAAGAGCCTGCAAGGCTTGAACCTTCTGGTTTGGCGACATTTTACAAATGAAAAAGTATGCTGTGAAATGCCCAGTAAGCAAAACTCTATCTCGCTTGCGAGAGAAAAAAGCAGAAGGCAAGCGAGATTTTCAAGCATGTGAAGGCGGCCGGTAACGAAAACAATATGAAAAAATTAACAACGTGTTAAAAATTGAATTGGCAATCTTGTTATTTTGTAGTTTTCCTACACTGGTTACCAAGAAGTATCAATTGGTAAAGCGAACAAACTCCCAAGTGACAGCTCTTTCTGGAAGAAGCAGATTTTGGCGTTTTGTGCACGCCGCTGTAATTTTTAATTTAATTTTGTTCTGATAATAAATATTTGATTTTCTCATTTAAGACGAGAAATGGATGAGGGAGATTACGATAACGATGAGTAAGTACTACTTTACATTAAATTTTTAAGGCACTGCTTACTTTTAAGTTGCCAGTTTTTGATGGGTGGCTTGCACTGCATTTCAATAAACATTTCCTCACTTCTAGTGTCGGTGGTGATGATTTCGATGATGTTGACGAGGAGGATAACATCGATGATATTAACCAAGAGGAGGAGGCTGACAATATAGAAATTATAGCGCCAGGAAATGCTGGTGGTGGAGTGCCCAAGGCGAAGCGCATTACAACCAAATACATGACGAAATATGAACGGGCGCGTGTGTTGGGTACGCGTGCGTTGCAAATTGCTATGTGCGCACCCATCATGGTGGAGTTGGAAGGTGAAACAGATCCGCTGCAAATTGCTATGAAAGAGTTGAAACAGAAGAAGATACCAATTATTATAAGGCGGTTTTTACCGGATCACTCCTATGAGGATTGGAGCATCGATGAGTTAATTATAGTGGACCATTAAGTTGTAGATTTAAATAGTAAGTTTTATTAAAAAATCAAAATATATATTGGACATTTGTGCAAAATGAGAGTGATTCGCATAATTCTGTTTTGTATAATTGCCGTTTACTAATATTTTATTGGTTTATAGACTGTAGTGGTATCCGACGGAATGGTATAAATTCTTAAATAAAAAAATCCATTATTTAGTTTTTAAGCTCCGGCCGCCAGTTGTCAACTCCACGCGAAGCCATATTCTTTATCATAACACACTCGCTCCAAGAGGGTGACTGCATTCTGCCCCGTGCGGCACATGCACTCCACAACAGAGGGCAGCAGTCCGCAGTCTGACAAGTTTTCCTGTCCGAAAACCTGTCCCGCAGCGTCATCGTCGACTTGCTTAGGTTGTTCTGTTTCATCTGTGGCAGGCCCAGCTTGTTCTAGCAAACGTTGGGTAGCTTTGCTGAATGCCAATGTATTATTGTTGCTGGCAAGAGTGGCGCTAAATGTATCTTTCGTTTCGCCTAGCAAATGACAGGCATACGGCAGGAATGTGGGTAGCACAACTCCTTTCACTTCAATGCTGTTGTAGTCTACACCGTCCATACGAACCTTACTCGAGCGAGTACCTAAATGTTGCATTGTGGCCTTGGGAAAAGCGACCGGCGCAATTAGTGTGGGTGGAATGCCCGCTAACTTTCCCACATTTGAAATGGCGCTTTTAGCGTTGAGCAAAAAGCTGAAGAATCCTTGACATTCAACGCCTTCTATTAGTAAAAGCGAATTTTCGCTGAAGTCATCGGACATCTCTTGAACATTCAGACGACGTATGTGCGCAGTTTGCATTCTGCGTAAATCCTTATCATTAACTTCCAGATTTTCTAAAAAGTTATCGGTATCTTCTTCATCGTCATCTACCAGTAGTTGATTTGTATCATCTAGAGTGCTAGTTTCCTTTGCTGTTAATTAGAGATTTATTATTTTAAAATGACAATAAAAACGAACTTGGAATTACCATCACTGGCAGCATCGATGCTGTTGCTCTCCTCCGTAAAGTTACCTTCGTCAGACTTATTTAAAGCGCTATCCTTTTTCAATGGCATTGTGTACTCTATGCCCTCTTGTCGTAAGGCGCTACGTATTCCGCGTGTACTTGGCGACATAAGAGCATGTGTTTCTACACAACCACCGGTGCCAGCGGCGCGAAATAGTACTGTAAATGTATTTGCACATAGGTAAAAGTACGGACACTGTCGTGCACGGAGCAGCTGAAATAGTCCTCTAAAACTGTAATCCCAATCGTCCGCTAGTGCTTTGCGCTCACGTTCTCCAAGCAATACACCATTGTTACTTTTGGAATTGCGTGGAAAGAGGGTCATCCAAGGAATGTGGGGATGTTGCCAATAGTAAGTTGCTTGGTTGAAACGCGTCGCTGGCGAGATGTCTAAGCCGCATTGCGTATTCTGGGTGTCAATACAGCGTACGAAGCTCGTCAAACCGCTGGCCAATTGGCTGGTTTTCAGCGTTGTTGTAGGTAATTCACTGCGACACAAAATACGTACTCGAGTTTTAATGGTCCAGTCCATTGGCAGATGTTTAGTTATTTTCTGTTCTTCCAAAGCAGCTTCATCATCATCTACGGCGGTAGTAGCACGTAGCATAGAAGAGAAAGATTTCGGGTCAAATGGCTGCAACACCAATTTGGCAGGCGGTGGACGTGTAGGCGTTTCGCGCACAAACGTTTCCTTCTGTGGGGGTGGGGTTTCAACGAATCCAAGGAGGGAATCATCTTCGATGAGTGGCGTGGTATCGGTACGTGTTCGTTTTGTTTCCTCCGATTTACTGCATAAGCGAAAAGTAGTGTTTAGAGACTTCAGTTAGAAATGAGTTGCACAACTTACATTGCGAATGGATTTTTTCGTTTTTGCGAAATTTTAGCTTCCAGTAAACTTGCTTTATCTTTACTTAACTTTTCTACGCTAGTAGAGCTTTTGTTTTGGTTCAATCGCGCAGCCAGCTGCTTTTTCTTCTGTTTTAACCGATGTAATTTGATGAGCTAGAAAAGAGGACGCGATACACGCAACTAAAAAATTTAAAGGATATACCAATTGTACCTCATCTGGATGTTTCCAGTTTTGTGAATTGCACTCTTTAGCTATGGACATTTTCCTGATCGTTTCAAATTTCTAAATATAATAAATAGTGTTTTATACTATAGCTGCTGTTTTCGCGATGTTCTAACTTTTCCTTTTGTTGCGCGCGTAATTTTCGGCAAACTTGTTTTTCCAGCAAGGCTTTTTGACAGCAATCAGCTGTTCGCTTCGTTGGAGTTGCCAACTATCCTAAGATGGGTTTAGGAAAAATCTTTTAGTCTGTTCCAATAGCAGTCCGGTTTACAGGATTTAGTCAGAACTTACAGGAAGTCGTTCCTATTGACATAAAACCTGTAAGTGGGAACACATATGAGAGAATAACTGAGCAACTGTTCCTAGTCAGAAGTTACAGGATTTAGTCCGGAGTTTTTTTTCCCGTAAGTTCATGAAAAGTGTCAAACGATCAGCTGATTTGCATGTGCAAGCAAAAACAAATAGTCTGTTCCTTTGAACTTCGGACTAAAACCTGTGCAACTGTCAAACTACAATTTTACTCTCTCAAATGAGAGTAAAAAGAGAACAGATGCAGAAGTGCATAGGAAAGCAAAAAGCACTATTTCCCGTAAAAACGTCAGTCGGTTTGTTTACATGTGTTTTGTACAACACTGATTTAGCTGAAATATCACTAAATAATTATTAAAATCTATACATATTCAAACATTTCGTTGTTTACTTCCATTTTTTTTACAAATATAAGGTACTTTGCTTTCACCGCTGTTAGTTTTTGCTTGCACATGCAAATCAGCTGATCGTTTGACAATTTTCATGACCTTACAGGAAAAGAAACTCCGGACTAAATCTTGTAACTTCTGACTAGGAACAGTTGTTCAGTTACTCTTTCAAATGTGTTCCCACTTACAGGTTTTATGTCAATAGGAACGACTTCCTTGTAATTTCACAATAAGTCTGTTCCTTTGAACTTCGGACTAAAACCTGTGGAACTGTCAAACTACAATTTTACTCTCTCAAATGAGAATAAAAGGAGTCTCATTTGAGAGAGTAAAATTGTAGTTTAACAGTTCCACAGGTTTTAGTCCGAAGTTCAAAGGAACAGACTTATTGTGAAATTACAAGAAGTCGTTCCCGTACGCAAGAATTTCTCTCACCGGGAACACTCTTGAGCGAGTAAAAGAGTAACTTTTTCCGGTCAGAAGTTACAGAATTGTTCACGAAGGATCTTCATGCAAGTTCATGAAAAGTGTCAAACGATTGGCAGGGTTGCATTTGAAAAAAAAAACAGTACGCAATTAATCTTAATTGTATATTTTTTAATAATTTTTTACTGATTTTCAGCCAAATCAGTGTTGTACCTATGACATGTAAACAAACCGACTGAGTAAATGGTTAGTCTGTTACGATAGCAGTCCGGTTTACAGGATTTAGTCAGAACTTACAGGAAGTCGTTCCTATTGACATAAAACCTGTAAGTGTGGACACTTTTGAGAGAGTAACTGAGCAACAGTTCCTAGTCAGAAGTTACAGGATTTAGTCCGGAGTATTTTTTCCTGTAAGTTCATGAAAAGTGTCAAACGATCAGCTGATTTGCATGTGCAAACAAAAACAAAAAACGGTGAAAGCAAAGAACCTTATATTTGTAAAAAGTGGAAGTAAACAACGAAATATTTGAATATGTATAGATTTTAATAATTATTTAGTGATATTTCAGCCAAATCAGTGTTGTACCAATGACATGTAAACATTGCGTTCCCGTGCACTTCTGCATCTGTTCTCCTTTTACTCTCACTTGAGAGAGTAAAATTGTAGTTTGGCAGTTCCACAGGTTTTAGTCCGAAGTTCAAAGGAACAGACTAAGTGCTTTTTGCGTTCCCGTACACTTCTGCAACTGTTCTCATTTTTCTCTCACTTGAGAGCGTAAGATTGTGACAGTTCCACAGGCTTTTGCCCGAAGAATACTGGAACAAACTAAATTATCCGCAAGAAGAATGAGAAAAGTTAGTAGTTGCGTTCCAGATGCTCACGATATTCACTATTTGCAGGTTTTTTTTTTGCAGGAAAGCATTCCAGGTCCAGGTCTGCAAGTCAAACCACTTTTGTGAGAGTAACTTGCTCTCTTTCTCAGTTAGAAGTTGCAGGTTTTAGTCCGAAGTTTTTCTTCCTGCAAGTTCATGAAAAGTGTCAAACGATAGGCAGGGTTGCATTTGTAAACAAAAACAGATAGCAAAGAACATTAAGCGCCACGGAGACAATAAAAAAAAAAAATACGTCAAGCATGGCATATGTGCGAGATTGGCTCGTGCCTTGCCCGCAAACGTTCAAATAAACGCGTTAATTCAACAAACAATTTCTTTTTCTTGTCCGCGCACTTGCTGACCACGACGATCAGAAGGCAAGTGCGCTTGGTTTTTGTCAAGCAAAACGCGAGACGGTTGATAAAGATATTTGACCGTCTCCATGGCGCTTAACATTAAAAAAAATGGAAGTAGTTACAGGAAAAGTGGTTTTTCGCGTTCCAAGTGACTTTTTATTTTTTCTCTCTTGCTCCTCTCTTTCAAGAGAGTAATTTTGTTATTTGACAGTTTTACAGCTTTTTACACAAAGTTATCTGAAACGCAACTAGTCTGTTCCTTTGAACTTCGGACTAAAACCTATGGAACTGTCAAACTACAATTTTACTCTCTCAAGTGAGAGTAAAAGGAGAACAGATGCAGAAGT